ACCAGTTTAGTCACATTTTCTTTGTTTTTTATCGTTTTTTAAACAGATTTTCTGTATTTTACTGAAACAAATGTCAGTTTTTGTTTTTCTTTACTGTTGTTGGATCAAATTGTTCCAAAACAGAGACACTGGGACATTTCTTTTATAAAACTGGAACAAATCTGCACTTTTAGTCTCAGTCTGAAACTCTGTTTACTGACACTTTAAATCCTCATTTCACTAAATAAAAGTGTTTTGTTTTTTATTTGTTTGAGTCTAATCAGAGCTTTTGTTATATTAATATTATTATTATTTAGGCAGGTTTTGGTCTTTGTTTACACAACGGTTGCTCGGTAACAGTGAAACAACCTCTGACCAGGAAGTAAAATGATAAACTTCACCAAAATAAAAGAAAGAGTAAAATGTGTTTGTAAAATTTTAAATGTGGTGATGTAACACAGAGTCCGGGTCTGGGTCCGGGTCTGGGTCCGGGTCCGGGTCCGGGTCCGGGTCTGGGTCCGGGTCCGGGTCCGGGTCCGGGTCCGGGTCTGGGTCCGGGTCCGGGTCCGGGTCTGGGTCTGGGTCTGGGTCTGATCTGTGGCTTCAGGTTTTTTTTGTTTTGAAGAGGAGCTGTCCACAAACACGGTGCTGAAAGGAAAATGACTCTGGGCAGAGTTAAAGCTTCACTGTGGAACCTCCTGCTGCTCGTCTCCATGGAGATGTTACTGCTGTTACAGGATGTTCCGCAATGTGGCATTAAACTTATTTAAACTTATTTGTAATCTGTGAAAATAATAATATAATGATAGAAAAAACTGAGACTAAACCAGGACTAAACCAGGACTGAACCAGGACTAAACCAGGACTAAAGGACCAGGACTAAACCAGGACTGAAACCAGGACTAAACCAGGACTAAACCAGGACTGAACCAGGACTAAACCAGGACTAAACCAGGACTAAACCAGGACTAAACCAGGACTAAACCAGGACTAAACCAAAAAAATAAACACAATTCTCATATTTCAGATCTTCACTTGTCTTTCTTCTCTTTTTTTTTTTCAGACGTTATAAAAAACTTAAATCCGTCTGTTTTTTGTCGTCGTGTCCAAACTCGTGTTTTATTTCAGTCTGGAAACAGACGCGCCTCCACAGACGCGCCTCCACAGACGCGCCGAACTCCCTCTCCTCGTGCTGGAGTTTTTTAAAAGTGTCTCGTGTCTCGTGTCTCGTGCTCGTGTCTCTCGTGTCTCGTGCTCGTGTCTCGTGTCTCGTGTCTCGTGTCTCGTGCTCGTCTCTCGTGTCTCGTGTCTCGTCTCTCGTGTCTCGTGCTCGTCTCTCGTGTCTCGTGCTCGTCTCTCGTGTCTCGTGTCTCGTGTCTCGTGTCTCGTGTCTCGTGTCGTCTCGTGTCTCGTGTCTCGTCTCGTGTCTCGTCTCGTCGTGTCTCGTGCTCGTGTCTCGTGTCTCGTGTCTCGTGTCTCGTGTCTCGTGTCTCGTGTCTCGTGTCTCGTGTCTCGTGTTCTCTCGTGTCTCTCGTGTCTCGTGTCTCGTGTCTCGTGTCTCGTGTCTCGTGTCTCGTGTCTCGTGTCTCGTGTCTCGTGCTCGTGTCTCGTGTCTCGTGTCTCGTGCTCGTGTCTCGTGTCTCGTGTCTCGTGTCTCGTGTCTCGTGTCTCGTGTCTCGTGCTCGTGTCTCGTGTCTCGTGTCTCGTGTCTCGTGTCTCGTGTCTCGTGTCTCGTGTCTCGTGTCTCGTCGTGTCTCGTCTCGTGCTCTCGTGTCTCGTGTCTCGTGTCTCTCGTGTCTCGTGTCTCGTGTCTCGTGTCTCGTGTCTCGTGTCTCGTGTCTCTCGTGTCTCGTGTCTCGTGTTTCGTGTCTCGTGTCTCGTGTCTCGTGTCTCGTCTCGTGTCTCGTGTCTCGTGTCTCGTGTCTCGTGTCTCGTGTCTCGTGTCTCGTGTCTCTCGTGTCTCGTGTCTCGTGTCTCATGTCTCGTGTCTCGTGTCTCGTGTCTCGTGTCTCGTGTCTCGTGTTTCGTGTCTCGTGTTTCCTGTCTCGTGTCTCGTGTCGTGTCTCGTGTCTCGTGTCTCGTGTCTCGTGTCTCGTGTCTCGTCTCGTGTCTCGTGTCTCGTCTCGTGTCTCGTGTCTCGTGTCTCGTGTCTCGTGTCTCGTGTCTCGTGCTCGTGCTCGTGTCTCGTGTCGTGTCTCTCGTCTCGTGTCTCGTGTCTCGTGTGTCTCGTGTCTCGTGTCTCGTGTCGTGTCTCGTGTCTCGTGTCTCGTGTCTCGTGTCTCGTGTCTCGTCTCGTGTCTCGTGTCTCGTGGTCTCTTGAGGATAATGAGGTCATGTTCTGGTTTGGAGAAGTGGGTTAATGATTTGAGGAGGACGTCCGGGACACGACGCTGCTCCTCGTCCTGCAGGAAAATCTGAAAAACCTCAGTTCATCTGCTGCACAAACTCCTCACACACTGAAAAAAACAAAAAACAACATCTGTGTTAAGTTCAAAGGACCTAATTTAAACAACATTTGATTTTGTTTTTTTATTTGAAGTACAAAAGTTGCTGTTTTTTTTATTTTAAGTGCAGTAAAATGTATTTTCATATTTTAAACACAAAAACACAGATTATTTTACTCGTCAAGTGAAATTTACTCAAATCATGATGAAATTTTCTTAATTCAAGTCGTCTGAATTTGACTAGATTTAGTTTTTTTCCAGTGATATTAATGTTTAAAGTCCTTTCCTCTTCTTTTTTTTTTTTTTTGTGGTCTCAAAGGCACTTGGACTTGGACTTGGTCTTGGTCTTGGTCTCTTGGTCCTGTGGTCTTGGTCTTGGTCTCTTCTCTTGGTCCTGTGGTCTTGGTCTCTTGGTCCTGTGGTCTTGGTCTTGGTCTCTTGGTCCTGTGGTGGTCTTGGTCTCTTGGTCCTGTGGTCTTGGACTGGTCTCTTGGTCCTGTGGTCTTGGACTGGTCTTGGTCTCTTGGTCCTGTGGTCTTGGTCTTGGTCTCTTGGTCCTGTGGTCTTGGTCTCTTGGTCCTGTGGTCTTGGTCTTGGTCTCTTGGTCCTGTGGTCTTGGTCTTGGTCTCTTGGTCTTGGTCTTGGTCTCTTGGTCTTGGTCCTGTGGTCTTGGTCTTGGTCTCTTGGTCTTGGTCTTGGTCTCTTGGTCCTGTGGTCTCGGTCTCGATTAGTCTTGTCTTTGTGTTTCCATGGAGACGAGCAGGAGACTCCAGAGGATTAAATGTGGGACAGTTTCACTTTTGTCTTTGTCACGTTTGTTTGTTCTTTTTTTATGCATCAGTTTCCTCGTTCAACAAACACACACACACACACACACACACACACACACACACACACACACACACACACACACACACACACACACACACACACACAAATCAGATTACCTCCATCAGTTTAAACACTGATTTCTGTCTGACGTGTTTAATCTGATTTTAAATTTGACAAAGTGTTTAAATATTTACATTTGAATCTCCGGATAAAGACACAAGTTTAATCTGATTTGTTCAGGTTTATTTGTGGATGTAAACGCGCTCGTGCCTCTGCTCGTGTTTCGGCGCGCGTGCTTCAAAAATCTAAAACAAATTTACAAAATAAAGCAGAACCACATCCGGTTAGAGCCTACAAAATAAAATAAATCATGCCCATGATATTGTTTCAGCGCAGTGTTTGGTTGCTTAAATGTTGTATTTTAATTCAGATATAAGTGAAGTAAACATCATTTCATTTGGTTACAATTTTGTGACCAGAATTTCAAAATAAAATACTGGGACGTCCCTGTTTTTTTTTGGTGGTTAATAAAAATAAAATTATGAATCGAGTGTGTAATTAAGGAAAACTGTTCTGTCAAGATCATTTATGACAAACGTGTCAGTTTAGTCACATTTTCTTTGTGTTTTGGTGATTTTTAAGCAGCTCTTTAAGGAGCTCAGTCACACAGGAGGAGCTCGGAGTAGAGCCACTGCTCCTTCACGTCGAGAGGAGCAGCTGAAGTGTCTCAGGCATCTGTTTTTCATTAATTTACAACATTAAATAATTATTAGGCAGCCAGATAATTTTAATTATCTGTAGGGTTTGTAATAAAATTCATATTGTTGGGAATTGAAACAAAGTGTGCAGATTACAGAAGATAGAATTCTGTTTTAATATCATGAAATATGGAAACTGCAATTAAATAAATCCACTAAACCACAAAATAAAAATGTCTGTTAAACTTCTAAAGTTAATTTTTTTATTCAGAATGATCATTTTAAAAAACATTTTCTGTTTGTCATGTGTTTTATATTTGAGCTTCTGTGTCCAAGTCATTTAATTTCTGGACAAATGTAAGTTTAAACCCCAACAAAGATTTATAATGACTTCAAAACCAGAACCAAACCAGGACTAAACCGGGACTGAACCAGGACTAAACCAGAACTAAACCAGAACTAAACCAGAACAAAACCAGGACTAAACCAGGACTAAACCAGAACTAAACCAGAACAAAACCAGGACTAAACCAGAACTAAACCAGAACTAAACCAGAACAAAACCAGAACTAAACCAGGACTAAACCAGGACTGAACCAGGATCAAACCAGGACTAAACCAGGACTGAACCAGGACTAAACCAGAACAAACCAGGACTGAACCAGGACTAAACCAGGACTGAACCAGGACTAAACCAGGACTGAACCATCACCGAACCAGGACTGAACTAGAACTAAACCAGGACTAAACCAGAACTAAACCAAGACTAAACCAGGACTAAACCAGGACTGAACCAAGACTAAACCAGGACTGAACCAGGACTAAACCAGGACTAAACCAGAACTAAACCAAGACTAAATCAGGACTGAACCAGAACTAAACCAGGACTGAACCAGGACTAAACCAGAACTAAACCAGAAGTAAATCTAAGGACTAAATAAAAAACATCTTAAAAATAATGTTTTTAGACCTAGTTTTGCAGATAAAGTTGTTTTGCGGCTTTTATTTTGAAAGAATCGTGCCGGAAGTCGGTTTTATTTGTTTGTCTATTTCCGCTTGTCAAAATGGCGCTGTTGTTTGCGGCGGGACGCTGGAGCTGAGCGCGTCTTTCTGCGCCGTTTTCCCTCCGCAAACCCCCCGATACAAACGGCTCCCACGGGCGGGCAGACGCCATGGCCACGCTCGACCAGAAATCCCCCAACGTGCTGCTCCAGAGCCTGTGCTGCAGAGTGACCGGGAAGAGCGAGGGTAAGGCGGCTAACGGCGGCTCGGGCTCCCGCTCTGTCCGCCCGAGCTGCGGTTCGACCCAGACACCGCCCCCGAACTTCACATTTTAATTTTTACTACAACTTTTTAAATATAAGCCCTTCACTGATTACCCGGAAAACTTAACCACCAATTTTAAGTTTTCATAATAAACATTTCGGCTTAAGAATATTGCCCAAAATTTATCTAATTAAGCGTGAATTTGATGTTTTGACAAATTAACTGTATTTTTTTTTTACTCGCCGCTGATTGGTCGAGCTGGAGGAAAGCGCCGCTCTGATTGGTCCGCTCACTTCCGGGTACCTGCTCAATACTGCACCGTTGATCCATTCAGAAGCTAAATTATGACATTTTAACACATTTATTACTAAAAAATCAAACTCGTGCCATTCCCGAAACATAAATAGACATCGTTTCTAATTAAAAATAAATCCGATTGTCTTGTGTTTTAAGTAACAAATGCGGAAATAACACAACAAACACCGATAACGTTATTTTATTATGAATAGCTGCAGTTAGCGTCATTTTTACACATAAAATACGGTTAAATCTTACAAAAATGAGTGTTATTTAGTTTGGATAAGTGCTTTTATTTACCTGTAGTGTCTTGTTTGTGCATTAGCGCGGTGTGATGGCAGCTCTGGCTTGAGTTACACAGAAAACATTAGTCATCATCATAATAACACTAATGTGAAAACACGAGGAGGGCCCTGACAACATCAATTTATTAATGCTTTTCTAGACTTAATCTTCTGCCTAGACACTGTTCAGTCAAAGTGCTCAAGACCTGAGATGGAATAAATATGGAGAAAATGCTGAACTGCAAAATGGTCTGTTAAGTTTTTATATTTTTGTTGTAAAAAGTGTTTGAAATGTCCTGAGTGAGACACGTGACAGACTCAGGTGGAGTTTTCTGTGTAACTGTCAGATTTGCAGATTTGTTTGATCGACCGGGTTCATGGTTAAAGCTGCACTGTGCAACTTTTCTGATATGAATCCAGCACCGGGTTGTGTCCATGTGTCCCCCGTCCCTGCAGATTTATCCAAAACCACTGATTTATCAAAGTTTTATAAATGAAATGTTCCATCAATCTGATCCCTGTCAACAGTAAAGTCATTTGTTTTGGTAAAATACAAAAAAGCTGCTTTAAAATGACCTAAACACAAAGAAAATGTGACTAAAGTGACTTGTGTTTGTTATTAATGGTCTCTACAGAACAATTTTCCTTAATTAAGACTCGTTTCACAATTTTATTATTACCAACTTCCACAAAATCGAGGATGTCCCAGTTTTTATTTTGAAATTCTGGTTTTATGAATGAAATTCTAGAGTTAATATTCTACCTAGATAGGATTTAATCAAAGTCTTCAAGAACTGCGATGAAATAAATATAAAAAAAAACAAAATTGCAAAAAAAAAAGTTATGTTTTTGTATTTTCTTTAATAATCATAAAGCATCAGTTTTATACAGTGACACTCAAAGACGTTTTACAGAGATTTATTCACACTCACACACATTCATACTCGGCAGTGTGGGTGAAGTGTCTTGCCTAAGGACACAACAACAGTTTTTGTTCTGGCGCCTCCTGTGGCTCCTGATTTTCCCACAGTCTCCATCCAAGTCCAGACCAGGACCAGACCAGGACCAGACCAGGACCAGACCAGGACCAGACCAGGACCAGACTCGGACCAGACTCTGAGCTGACGAGATCTGATGGATCAGACTTTGACAAGTCGGTTTGGCCACATTAGTAAAAAGTGTTTATAAATGTTCTGAGCTGAGACACGTGAGAGTCTCAGGTGGAGTTTTCTGAGTTGTTGACCTGGTTTATGGTTAAAGCTGCACTATGTAACTTTTCTGGTACGAGTATGTGGAGAAATGTTAAGTCAGACCTGGGCCTGTGCAGCTCTGAAGCCACATTCAGCCCTTTAGTCGAGTCTGATCGGCTCCTTTAAGATCATTTGGAATCACAGAATAAACATATTTGATCTAAAACTGCGTTATTTTAGTTTAAACTTTTTTTTTAAATGACGCTTTGTTCAGCAGCTTCACTTTTTCATGAGTCAGAACATAAACTCTTCTCAGTCTGAACAGCGTCACAACAGTGAGATTTACAGATTTTTGTAAAGAAATAAAATTCAATACAATATAGTTTTTTGCAGAATTGAGTTCAGTATTTGAACCTCCACAGTATTTTCAGTTCTTCACGTGGCCCCAGGGGGAAAATAACAAACCCAAGCCTGTTCCTGTTGCTCTGTCAGGAATGTCCCACAGTCTGACAGAAAAGTTGTTTATTAATCATTTTTAACCATAAAACGTATTGACTCTGTGATTCCAGGTAACGTCTCCAACGTCATGAATAATGAAAAACACAAGTCCACTTTAAGATTTTATTCAGGGTTTGTTGGTGAATATGAACAGTGGAGAAGTGGAGACGTGTTTTTTCTAAAAGTAGCGGTAAATAAAAATCTGAAGTTTGCTTTCTATTGTAATTAAATAATAATAATAATAATAATACATTTTAGTTTACAAGTCACAAAGAACAATACAAAAAACATAAAAAACGGACAGAAGGCACAAAAAACAGACTGGTGCAAACAGTTCAATTAATTATAATAAATAAATAAAAAGAAATAAGGAATGAAATCAAGATAAAACCACTTTAAAGGAAGGCCAAGCAATAAAAATAGGTTTTAAGAAGTAATTTAAAAGATGATAATTGGTCTAACTCTCCACAAATCGGACCTGTAAACCGGCCTGGTGGAAATTGTTTAAGTTTAAAATCATTCTGTGAAAAATTCCAGGCAAAGCAACACCATCTCCCTCTACCTGGAAAGTTGTAATATTTCTCTTCTTCCTGGGCCTGTCCACATGAAACCAAACGTCAGAGTTCAGTGTCTTCTGTCCCACAGACGTATACAGACCCGTGTGCTCCTTTTTCTCTGGGGTTTTCATGGTTCTGTCTCCGTGTGTTTCCAGCTGAGGTGGCGCACCAGTTCCAGTTCGCCGTGCGGGTGATCGGGAGTAACTACGCCCCGACCATCGAGCGAGACGAGATCCTGGTGTCGGACAAGATCAAGAAAGAACGTAAGAATCAACAACACTTCATATGAATAAATAAATAACAAAAACTTAACTAGAAAATCTTCGGTGAAAATGTTAGAAAGAAATTAAAGCAACACTGTGCAACTTTCTGGAGGTTTAATACCACATAGTGTTTCTAAGAACCTAAAATGTGAGATCTTTGACTATTTAATGTTTTATTTTATGGTGTAAGTTGAGATTCGGCTCGAGGCAGAGTTACAACACACCCAGATCTCTGCTATTGTCGTTCAGCTTTGAAAACTGGGCCACAAAAAACATAATAACAGACACTCTGCAACTGATTAAATCAACATTTCCTTGGTGAAGTGACGCTAACTGGAGGCATGTCTCTTTCTGAAGCTCTGTTAGACTTTGTTTGACTCTGAGTTTGATTTTAACTAGATTTTATCTAATAAATTACAGGTTTTGTAATGAATCAATCTCATTTAATCTCATAAAAATATTTCTCTCACTCATTTACTCATGTTTCTTCCTGAAGCCCGTCATGTGTTGGAGTTTGTTCTCTGGTTTGTACTCGGAGCAGATCTGCCCCCCACAGCTGCAGCAGGTTCTGTTCTGTCACATGTTTTGTGTTTAAATGTTGAGGGTTGAGGAGCGTCTGTGATATGAAACTCTTTTCAGCACAGTTTGCATTAAATAACGCCTTTGTCAATACTTTAATAGTGTGTTAGGCTGCGTTCAGACTGAACCTGAAGTGACCCAAATCAGATTTTTTGTCTCTATGTTCCTGTATCTGATCTTTTAATGTCTGAACCACACAGATCTGATGTTTTCACATGTGACCAGGACACTTGGATCTGTGCTCCTGAAACTGATCCATATCTGATCTTTAACATGTGACTTGAGTGTGAACAGTCAGGTCACATTCATCCACCTACACGTCATCAACAAGACACAAACGTCACTATTCTGCACTGAAGTAGAAGAAAACTGTTCATGATCCATGTGACTGAAGTGAAGCACATCTCCACTCACCACAAAACACCACCACCAAAAACCTGCTCCTTCTCCTTCTCAATCTCCTCCTTAAAACAAGTCAGTTGTTCATGTTGTGGCTCCGGTACGAGAGGAACTTTAAAATCTCCAGGTGTAAACACAGAGACGCTCGCTGCGGTTGACGTCGTCGTGTCTCCAGTGTCACATGTGGGACACTTTTATGACATGTTTAATGTTCACACTGGAGTCACATACAAGTCACATTTAACTGGGAATGTGAACAACCTCAAAAAAACATCAGATTTCACCAAAAGATCAGAATTGAGCGTTAAACCTGCAGACTGAACGTAGACTTCGAGTATCGAGTCGTTTTTTTTTATATAAACGTCCCGTCCTGCAGACCCAGAGTTTTTCCTGCTCCTCTGTTGTTGTTGTTGTTGTTGTTGTTGTGGGATCTGTGTGCGTCAGTGTAACTGTCGTACGACGACATGCAGCACTGACAAATGTTCTGCGTCGTTTGGCAAACTGAGATAAAGTATGTTCATAATTTTAATGCATTATTTCCTTTGTAATGAATGAATCGTAATTAATGTGGTAATGTCCCACTCCTAGTTTAAACACAGTCTGACCAGAAAGACGTGACTGATCCAAACTCCATCAGGTGATCTGATCTGTGCTGTTAAACACGTTCCTCTAAACAACGTCACCGTCAGGAGCGTTGGCATTAGTCATGACATTAGACAACAGTTTTTCAGTTACTTTTTGTTGAAAATCTTGATCACAGGCTCTGAAAACGTGCTCTTTAAATCGCTTTTTCAATTTTTTGGTGTTTTTTGACAGTGTTTGTTAATGTGTGCTTTGTGTCTCCGTGGTAAATGCTGAACATTCCACCACAGACCTACATGTAGAACCCCCTGTGCGTGATGCCACAGTAAATGATCAGTAATCAGATTCTAGTGCATGTGTGTGTGTGTCATAGTCAGTAAAAGTGTGTGTAATCCTTCACTCAGTCACTCACAATAATGCATGAGCTCTACAGAAGTTTCTGGAAACGTCTCGTCACCTGAACGATTCCACAGAAACAGAAAATCAAATCCATAATCCGGAACATTCCCCAGGGACACTGACGGTTCACAGTGACGTCACACATCAGCAAACCAAGACCAAAAAGGTTTAAAATGGTCTGAAACTCTCAGAGAAAAGATCCCAAAGTGATTTAAAGAGACGTGTTCATGGTTCTGTTCACCAGTTTGATTTTATATCAGTGACCAGATTTTCAAAAGTCCAAACTGGGACACACCGGGTTGGGATGTTTAGTATCAATAAGATAGTGAGAAGCGCCTGAAACTTTCTGCATTTTCACGTCAGTCATGATCTGAACGACTTCTCACGCGTTGTTTTACGGTCATTTGCAAACACAATTTTCTGTATTTTGGTGAAACAAATGACAGTTTATGCTCCTGTTTACTGTTGACAGGATCAGATTGTGACCGTCTTGTTTTAGACCAGATGTAGTCCTGCTTTAGTCTTAGTTTATACCTGTTTTAGATCAAATTAGTCAAAAACAGAGACACGTGGAGCATTTCTTGTATAAACGATCAGTGGTTTTGTATAAATCTGCTGGGACGGGGACACAGACTCAAAACTGGGGAAACAAACTAATTTTACAGTAAAAGTTGAAAGTGACTCACTGAAAACTGTTGGACTTGTTTAACTTGTTGAGGACTTGAAAACGAGATGGTGACACATCTCAAGGCGCTTATCCTCCAAACAAATGAGAATTCAGATTGAAGTTCAGGAAAGTTCGTTGTTTCAGGTCAGATTGTGTTAAAACTAAACTCAGATTAAAGTCTAAGTCGAGTCCCAGAGCTTCAGACAGAGCAGTGCCTCCAGTTAGCGTCACCCCCTCAGGGAGTATTGATGACGTCGGCTGCACAGTGTAAACAGATGAGTGTAATGTCGTACTGTGGAATATTATAGCCAAGAAAACCACATTTCCATGGAAACGAGCGGCTTTGATAAACCAGGTCCAAACCAGAATAAACCAAGGATTAAACCAGGTCTAAACTAAGGTCTAAACCAGGTCTAAACCAGGTCTAAGTCAAGGTCTAAACCAGGTCTAAACTAGGACTAAGTCAAGGTCTAAACCAGGTCTAAACTAAGGTCTAAACTAGGTCCAGGTCTAAACCAGGTCTAAACTAGGACTAAGTCAAGGTCTAAACCAGGTCTAAACTAAGGTCTAAACCAGGTCTAAACTAAGGTCTAAACCAGGTCTAAACTAAGGTCTAAACCAGGTCTAAACTAAGGTCTAAAACCAGGTCTAAACCAGGTCTAAACCAGGTCTAAACTAGGACTAAGTCAAGGTCTAAACCAGGTCTAAACTCTAAGGTCTAAACTAAGGTCTAAAACCAGGTCTAAACCAGGTCTAAACCAGGTCTAAACTCTAAACCAGGTGTAAACCATAGTTGAACATAATGTCGTACTGTGGAACATTATATTGAATAAACCGTCATTTCCATGGAAACGAGCGTCGGGATCTGGTCCGTTATTAAACCTTTAAAGTCCGTGTGGGGGGTTTTGTGCGTTGGACTCGTTGCGGCGAGAGCCTCAATAAAAATCCCACATCAGTAAAAATAAATAATTCATCTGGACATAAAAATAATCTGGACTTTGATTTTGTGTTTGACTTTTTAACCTTCCTCTGTTTCTGTTTCGGACGCATCAAATATTTACACCATCGATCCCACATCAAACTTTATTTCACTCCCGTCTTCTGCCGATTTCAGAGTAAAACTGCACAACGCACTCGCCTCGTTCCACTAAAGCTGCACTGCGGAACTTTCTTATGTCTGTTATCTCTGATGTTCTGTCTGGAATGTTACAGAATACAGCATTAACTACAAGTGGTTTAATAGAAAAAAAATGTCTGGAATTAAAAGGTTTACTGGCGTCGCCGCTGCGCAGATCTGACCGGTAACTTCGTCGCCGTGGAGATACATGCTGTATGTTTACTGCGGAACTGTGGTGGAACATTCCAGACCAAAGCTACGAACGACGTCTCCATAGAAACAAATGAGAGTAAAGTTACACAGTGCACCTTTAAACTAAGAATATTAAACCAGGACTAAACCGGGACTAAACCAGGTGTAAACAACCGGGTCTAATACAGGACTAAGCCTGGACTAAACTGGACTAAAACTAAGACTAAACCAAGATTAAACCAGGACTAAACAGGGTCTAAACAGAGCCTCAAACCTAACCAGACTGGGATTAAACCGGGACTAAAATGGGACTAAACCGGGACTAAGACGGGACTAAAACGGGTCTAAAACAGGACTTAAAGGGTCCATCGAATGTCTGTTTTTCGTGGTATTTTTGTCTCTAAATCCACCTGTAATTGATTAAATGTAAAGTAGATCTGTTTAATGTCACACTGCGGAACATTCTGGGCAGAGCAGTGACGTCTCCATGGAAACGAGGAGACAGTGACAGTGTTTCAGTCGGTCGAGCGTTTGTCACTGATCTATAGAATAGTTTTGTCGATTGTTGTTGTGAAGCGTTTTGAGTCTTGAAGGTGAAAAATCACCGTGTAAAAATGTGACAGACCTGGTGTGGCTCGTTCTGATGTGGCTCGTTCTGATGTGGCTCGTTGTGTGGCTCGTTGTGTGGCTCGTTGTGTGGCTCGTTGTGTGGCTCGCTCTTGTGGCTCCCTCTGGACAGAATCAGGGTCAGTGTGAAAAGGATCGATTTGTCTCAGCTCAAAATAACACTTTAAAATAACACTTTAAAATAACACTTTAAAATAACACCAGCACTTTGTTTATGTCAATGCAAAACTAATGACACCAACATTTACACTGATATTTAGACCAGAGACTAGACCAGGACTAGACCCGGACTAGACCCGGGACTAGACCAGGACTAGACCAGGGACTAGACCAGGGACTAGACCAGGACTAAAGGTCCATTCAGACTGCGGTGTCAGAAAACGCCCTGGTCGTATCGAATCTGGCGTCTTTGCATTTGAGTTCAGACGCTGCAGATGAACGACAGAAAAATATTTGACGTGCGTCTGTTGCCCTGGAAACAAGAGTTCGGTCCTGGACTTTTCCCGACACAATGTCAGACCAGACTGAGAGACTTTAGTGTTTTTATTACAGAAAACATCAGCGGAGGAGATCGACTCGACGACTACAGCGTTATGTAAACTCCATTCATGACACTGGAGCAGTCCCGGTCTAGTCCCGGTCTAGTCCCTGGTCTAGTCCCGGTCTAGTCCCGGTCTAGTCCCGGTCTAGTCCCGGTCTAGTCCCGGTCCCGGTCTAGTCCTGGCAGTTCGGTGATTGCGTTGTACATATTTATTCTCGGCTTGTGTTTGTGGTTCTGGTTCTTGGGTCTTTCTCTTTCTTCTTGATAACAGCGTCACTGCGTCTCTAAATACTCGTCTCTAAATACTCGTCTCTAAATACTCGTCTCTAAATACTCGTCTCTAAATACTCGTCTCTAAATACTCGTCTCTAAATACTCGTCTCTAAATACTCGTCTCTGATCAGCGCCAAAGGTTCAGCATTTTCAGCTTCTGACATCGACGCCCTGGACGCACGTCTAGAGCGTCGACTCCAGAAACGCTCAAGACGCGGCGGGAGACACCAGATTCACAAAAACGCCGGACGCCCCAGACGCTCGTCCACATAAAGTTTTCAAATAAACCGGACGTTTGACGCTCTGGTGTGAACGCGCCTTAACCGTGTGTTTCTTGTTTCTTGTTTCAGTGTTGAAGCAGAGAAGAGCAGAAGATGCAGCCCTTTTCTCCGAGCTTCACAAGAGACTTCAGGGACAGGTCTGAGTCTGAACCCGTCCTGGTCTGAGTCTGAACCCGTCCTGGTCTAAATCTGAACCCGTCCTGGTCTAAATCTGAACCCGTCCTGGTCTAAATCTGAACCCATCCTGGTCTAAATCTGTTTGTGTTTCAGGCGGTGCTGAAACATCGTTGGTCTGTTCTGTACCTGCTCCTCAGTTTGTCTGAAGACCCCAGGAAGTCCTCCTCCTCCTCCAGGGTGAGAACACCAGACCCCGACCCTGACCCTGACCCCAGACCCTGATCCCGACCCTGATCCCGACCCTGACCCCGACCCTGACCCCGACCCTGACCCCAGACCCACACCCAGACCCACCCTGACCCCAACCCTGACCCCAACCCTGACCCACCCAGACCCAGACCCACACCTGACCCCAACCCTGACCCACACCCTGACCCACACCTGACCCACACCTGACCCCGACCCTGACCCCAGACCCACACCCAGACCCAGACCCTGAGACACTCGCCACGTTTATCTGATGGTTTTAAAATTCTGAATTAATTGTTCAAAATTAAAATATTCTCCTTGGAGTTTCCATAGAAATAATAATTCTGAATTAATGGTTACACGGAAAACTCGTTAAATCTGCTTTAAACTCCTCTCAACAAAATTATTTTTAAGAATATTAAACTTTTAAAGGATTGAGGAATAAATGAATTCAACTTTAAAATTGGAAAAAAACATCCACTTCAGAATTATGTTTAATTCTAAATAATCATTTTCATTGGGAATTAAGTCCTGGTTTAGTCCTGGTTTGGTCCTGGTTTAGTCCTGGTTTGGTCCTGGTTGGGTCCTGGTTGGGTCCTGGTTGGGTCCTGGTTGGGTCCTGGTTGGGTCCTGGTTGGGTCCTGGTTTGGTCCTGGTTGGGTCCTGGTTG